CTAATGACACTGAACTTCAGTGGAATAGGATCTCGGCCACTATGCACGACGCAGGAGCATCTGTTTGTGGCACTATCAGTCGCCATCGCATCAGTCACTGGATGTCCGAGAGGTCCGTGAACTTTTTGGAAGCTAGAAGGCACCTCCCGGCTGGTTCTGAACACAATGTGACCAGACGGGCTATTAGGCGTGAACTAAAGCGGAGCCTACGTGCTGACAAGGAAGCCTGGTGGACCAGTCGGGCTCAAGATATGGAGGAGGCAGGAGCAGTAGGCAATTACCGCAAGCTCTTCCAGCTAATCCGCACCACTGGTCCCAGAAAACCAGGCGTCAGTGAGACAATCAGGGACAGCGCGGGTGCGCTGATACACAATAAGGAGCGCCGTATGGCTCGTTGGGCTGAGCACTTTGAACATCAGTTCAGCTGGCCCCCTGCTCCCGGACCTCTTCCTACTCAGGTGATGCAGGACGAGCCATGGACGCTTAGTTTAGAGCCTCCGTCGGAGGCCGAGGTCCGAAACGCGATCACAGCCCTCAATCGTTTTCGTGCCGCTGGCCCGGAGTCCCTACCACCTGCACTATTTAAGGATGGAGGTGAGGTCCTCTGCAAAGCACTGACCTCCCTATTCGAACGTATCTGCAACGAAGAGAGTGTGCCGGCTAATTGGAGCGAATCGATTATAGTGGCAATATACAAAAAGGGCAGTCGCACAGACTGTGCGAACCACAGGGGTATTAGCCTAACGCCAGTTGTGACAAAATTACTGGCCTCGATTATCGTTCGTCGCCTCACTGCAGAACGGGAATCTCGGATTAGGGAAGAGCAGGCCGGTTTTCGCCCAGGACGTGGCTGTATAGACCACATATTTACTTTGCGGCAGGTGCTAGAGCAGCGCCACGCATACCGCAGACCGACAATAGCTGTGTTCCTCGATTTCAAGAGTGCGTTCGATTCAGTCGATCGATCGATTCTGTTCGAAATACTTGCGCGGAAAGGTGTTCCCACGAAATATGTGAACATCCTTCGTGCTCTATACTCGAACACTAGAGGCCGCGTCAGGGTCTATGGTGCCCTATCGGATAGCTTTTCGACTACAAGTGGCTTTCGACAGGGTTGCCCGATTTCCCCGTTTTTGTTCAATTTCGTCGTGGATTCTATCATGGAGTGTTCCCTTGCGGAATCTCACGATGTAGGTGTTGAAGTGCTGCCTGGTGAACGGTTAGTTGATCTAGATTATGCGGACGATATCGTCTTGCTTTTCGACAATGTTGAGGCGGCACAATCAACACTGAATAGCCTATCCAGAGTGGTCCCATTATTTGGTATGCACTTCGCACCTTCAAAGTGCAAAGTGCTGCTGCAGGACCACCAGCCACTCGATGACCCCTTGACGCTTGCTAACGAGGAACTCGAGGTGGTTGATCAATTCACTTATCTTGGCAGCTGCATCAGCAATGATGGGCGCATAGAAACTGACGTCAGCTCACGCATTGCAAAGGCCAGAGCTGCCTTCTTGAACCTGCGTCATCTTTGGCGACAGAAGGGAGTTTCCCTCCGTCTGAAAGGCCGTGTATACAAGGCCACAGTGAGGGCCGTTCTGCTCTATGGTAGTGAGACTTGGCCCCTTCGGTCTAAAGATCTGAGGCGCCTTCAAGTCTTTGATCATCGTTGTTTGCGAAGCATTGCTGGTGTCGGATGGCACCAGCGTGTCCGCAACGATGATGTGCGTAGGCGAGTACTAGGTGGTGATGATCATGCTAGCTCCCTAGAACAACAGACAGCACTGAATAAGTTGCGTTGGCTCGGGCACGTGCTACGCATGCCTGGTCACCGCTTACCCAGGAGGGCCTTGTTCAGTCTACCAGGTGTAGGATGGCGCAAGGCTCGAGGTGGACAGAAGTTGACTTGGCAGCAGGTAATGAAGTCACTGACGACCAAACTGGGTGCCGTTGGTCCGTCTCGCCTTCCGGGTTGAAGTCCACGTGACTCACCTTGTGCTTGGCTCGAGACTTTACAGGACATGGCTCGCAGTAGACACCAGTGGCGCGTCTGCTGCCGTCTCCTAATCGGCTTGTCTGTTTAAAGTGTGTTTGGTGCTGAGTTATCTGCGGGGTAATGGCTGATTATGACGCGTGGCAGTGAAAGCCGCAAGGAAGCTGTCTCGCCGATGCCGCCTTATCTTTGCACAATAGCCAGCTGTTTGTGACGATATGTTGTCTACACAAGGTGTAGGCGCCTTGACCCCGAAAGTTTGCTTAGGGCATTCAGGTTTTTAGGTAAGTCCCCCTTCTCTCCCTCTTCTTATTTTTTATTTCATAGGTCCTCATGGTTGTATGGCAGCGAAGCATCAGTTCAAATGGCTGGTGTACTGCTGTCGATGATGATGATGATATATATATATATATATATATATATATATATGCAAGAGTTTATGAATAGACACAGAGCCATCAGAAACCATGGGACACAAAAGAAAGTACAGAAATTGTAAAAGAAAACACAACACAACACATTACAGTCCATGGTTTCGTCAGAGGGCGAGATACTACCCGGCTGCCCAAGCCGAAGAAGGAGAAGGAAACTGTCCCGACAGTCTGGAACAGCTCCGCCATAGTTCCAATTCTCAAGAGTCTTCCGTTCTGAATGCGGCAATCATAGAGGAAGCAGTCTGACCTCTATGGCCTCTAAGTTACTTGCGTCTGTCGTGAAAGCCAGATGTGCGAGGAACAAGTCGGGTTTCGTGAAAAGCGAGGCTAGATTGACCACATCTTTACTTTGCGTCAATTGTTGAAGCACCGCTATGTTTATCCGCGACGCACTGTTGTCGCTTTCCTAGACATAAAGCGGTCTTTGATTCCGTTGATCGATGTGCCCTTTGGGATTGTCCGCTCAAGAAGGGTGTCTGAGAAATAGGCAAACATTATCCGAGCGCTATACGCGCGTAATTCGGGCAGAGTGAGAATTTACGGCAAGCAGTCGCCACTCTTCAATATCTCCAGCGGTGTGAAACAAGGTTGCTCGCTGTCACCTTTCCTATTTAATTTCGGCATTAGCGAAATCATGGAAACGGCGCACGCCGCGCACGATTGGAAGGTGTGGAGCTGCTCCCTGATGAACGGCTCCTTGACTTGGAGTATACTGATGATATTGCCGTAATCTGGGACAGCTCCCAAACGTACCAAGCAGCACTGCATCGATTGGCACTAGCTGTCAGCCGTTTCGGGTTATGATTTGCAACAACGAAATGCAAAGTCCTTCTCCAAGATTGGCAGAGAACTACCCTTGCACTGAATTTTAGTGGCAATAATTTAGAAGTCCGAGAAATGCAGGTAGCTAGGCAGCTATATCAGCACCAGTGGAACAGAAGATGAGATCACGAACCGTATAGCAAAAGCTCTATGCACTTTTGCTAATCTCCGCCATCTGTGGCGCCGGCTGACATTACACACGCCCTGAAGGGCAGAGTTTATAATGCAAGCAACCGTATAATTCTCCCGTACGGTTGCGAAACTTGCCCCATCAAGTTGACAGACATAAAGAGGCTAGTCACGTTCGACCATCGCTGCCTTCGCAGCTTAGCCCATGTCTGGTGAGAGCATCGCGTGTGCAATGAGCGTGTTCGGCGTTGAGTATTTGGTGCAGAGAAAGCTAGTGAACCCCTCAGCACCATTATTTCACGCACCAGGCTCCGATGACTGTGCCACGTGTTGCGCATGTCAGCACATCGACTCCCGCATCGTGCGTTGTTTGCGCGCCGGGGGTGTGGATGGACGAGGGGAGGTTAAGCAATGACTTGGTATGTATGTACGTAAGTAATCTCAACAGTCCAGTAACTAGACATAGACTTGGTCGTAAGGAATGAAGTTCATCACTACGAAGTTGGCGTCGGTTGGTGTTTACTGACTACCTAACTGTGGACCAAAGGATGATGAACACGTTTGATTGGATAAACTAGCCGATAAAGCGTTTGTGTTTCGAGTCTCATCGTGCCTTCCCTTCCTTTCAGCTTCCTCCTCTAACAACCGTCAAAAATGTGATGTTCGCGTTATGTTACTTTTTGATAGTTTTTAAGTATACACTGCTTAATATCTTACTTTTCTATATTGCGGCACATTAGTTGAGGTGTGTTTCTCACCCTCGGCTAAAGTGTATTGATTATGATGGTGATAAGAGTCATTGTTATGGTACCACAATAAACACTTGTCACACTTTTACCTATAGGTACCTCAACAAGCAATTCTGACAAACATGTTTAGTGATCACAACATCCAGCGTGAAGAGGGCACTCTCCATACAAGGGGGTTAAGTCAGGGCGAGTTGAAGAATAACAGCTGAAGACGGGGGACCGGATGCAAGAGTGCTACAGATTTCTAAGTGCAGCAACAACTGATCAAGGGATTACATTAAGAAAAACAATGTACGTAAACCAGACTAACATCCCAAATGAGTTGAGAAGTGGGTTATGGTCGCAAAATCGATTGGCGATCCATCAGGATCACCTTAGCAGGTAAAGCGATGACAAACAAAACAGGATGAATGAATGCGAGGAACGTAAACAGGCCAGTGTAGGAGGCTCAATAATAATAGACGGTCCAGGGTGGTGCCATACGGTCAATCCAAAGAGATTTTCAACTTGATTGCAACCGAGGGGTAAGTGGATACCTGGTTTGAGGTGGGCAACAACAAACTCAGCATAGTTGTGCTCCCTTCAAGTCAGAGTCCATGGCATAGAGGTAAGCTTACAGCCGTGATTAATTGTCCCTCATGAGTGTTTGGTGAGAAATGGCTCAATGGTTCATACCCAATCATAGCGATGAAGGAGGAAACATAAGGCACGTCATTAGACCTCTAATCACTTAGCGACTGCAAGAATAATCTCAGAAAGGATAGCTGGGAGTGGTCCAATGCATACGTAGAAAGGAAAGCAATTGCAACACAACGAGACCCAATCTAAAGCATGGAAGCAGTCAGGATTATTAATCGACATTATAAAACCCACCCTATCCGGCCACATGTTAGCATAAACCGGTTAAATAGCAGGATGTTCAGACATATCATCATCTGTACATGTTAGCTGAGGGCGAGAAACACCTCAGCTAATGTCCTGCAATATAAAAAGATAAGAGACTAAAAAAGTACACAACAAAAAAGTTCCGAACAAGTAATATGATGTCAAATATTATATTATGCGTTTTGTATGAGATCGGAATTGGAGAGGGAATCTAAAAAGGAGGGGGATTGACAAAGAAACTCACAACACAAACGCCAATGGAGCCGGCTATTCGTCATATCAGCATGTGTACCCAGCCAAACGTGTTCATCGTCCCTAGGATCCCAGCGAGGCAGTCGGGATGCACCAACCAATGCCGGTTTCGAAGTGAGGGACTTCATTCCTCAAGACCAAGTAATCGCTTGGTCTCACATCCACCACTTCCAACCGCACCCCCGGGCGCGCAAACAACGCATGATGCGGGAGTCCATGTGTTGGCATGCGAAACACGTGGCACAGCCATCGGAGCCTGGTGCGTGATATAATGGTGCTGAGCGGTTCACTAACTTTGCCTGCACCAAATACTCAACGCCGAACACGCTCATCGCTCACGCGGTGCTCCCACCAGACATGAAGTAAACTTCGAAGGTAGCGATGATCGAACATGACTAGCCTCTTTATGTCTGTCGACCTGATGGGCAAGGTTTTACAAGCGTATAGGGGAGTTGAACGGACAGCTGCATTATAAACTCTGCTCTTCAGGGCAAGAATGATTTCGCGTCTGCGCCACAGGTGGCAGATTGGCGAAAGCACCTCGAGCTTTTGCTAGACAGTTCGTAACCTCATTTTCGATTCCACGGCGGGTAAGATAGCTGCCCAGGTACTTGAATTCCTGAACGACGTCTACTCGATCACCATCAGCCGTCAGCGCAGGGGTGGGTCCCTGCCAATCTTGGAGAAGGACTTTGCAGTTCGTTGTTGCAAATCACAGCCCGAAACGACTGACAGCTAGTGCTAATCGGTCCAGTGCTGCACAGTATGTTTGGGAGCTGTCCCAGATTACTGCAATATCATCAGCATACTTCAAGTCAAGAAGTCAATCAGCAGGAAGTTGATCCACACCTTCTAGGTCGTGTCCAGCGAATGCTATTTCCAAGACCTCAACTGCGAAGTTAAATAAAATGGTGACAGCGGGCAACCTTGTCTCACACCGCTAGTGATACTGAAGGACGGAGACAGTTGGCCATAAATCCTCACTCTGCCCGAACTATGAGCGTACAGCGCATTGATAATGTTTACGTATTTATCAGGCACACATTTCCTCAGAAAATAGTCTATCGGTCGACTGAATCGAAGGCACCTTCTATGTCAAGAAACACGACAACGGTGCGTCGCCAAAAAACACGGCGGTGCTCCAACAATTGACGCAAGCTGAAGATGTGGTCAATGCAGCCACGACCTCGACGAAACCCGGATTGCTCTACACGGACCTGGCTTTCACGAATGCTAGTCAATCTGTGGAGAACGACAGACGCAAGTAATTTAGAGACAATTGTGATCAGGCTGATCCCTGTATGATTGCCGCATTCCGAACGTGAGCCTCCCTTGAAAATTGGGACTATGACGGAGCGGCCCCAGTCTGACGGAACAGTTTCCTTCTCCCAAAGTTTCACTAGCAACTCGTGTAAATCATCTAATAGAGCAGGTCACCCGAATTTGAAGAGGTCTGCGGGAATGCTAGCTGCCCCTGTGGCCTTATGCAATTTCAACAGCCTGAGCTCACGATCGACTTCTGCGCGCGAGTGGATCCAAGGAGACGGAACAAGGAAAAAGGCGCTCAAGGCCCGCAAAAGAAAGTGAGAACTCATGTTGGTTAAATTGGTTTGCAAAGTGTTCGGTAAAACGCTTCAAGCGTTCTGACAAGCTGTGGATTGGCTGTACACTCTCGTCGCGGATGATTTCGCTAACACCAGGTTTCCAGCTGCATATTTCCCGTATCAGACTGAATAACTTACGATGATTACCAGCGACAGGCGCTGTTCCATCTCCGAGGCACGATGAGACCACCAAGCTTCGCGGTCTCTTCAGGCTAGCACGCAGTTTTGCCCTGAGATTTTCACGAATCTCATTGTATTCGTTCCAGCCGGAACACGTCGGCGAGCACCCATATGTTCTTAAGACTGTGTAGAGACCCAATGTCCAGTTTGGCAATTTGATTTGCCACATGAAGACATGTCTGCTGATAGTAATGATTGGCGAATATACATCCAGTTATCTTCGACGGTGTTCAGTGGGCGCTTATACGGCCAGGAGATCAGTGTACTTTGATACACATTCAGAGCACCTGGCTTCGCCAGCTGGCTGGTGTCAATCCGTTCACATCGACGTTGCGGACGTCCACCGAAACGCACCCGGAGGTCGGCGCAAACAAGTGCGTGGTCAGAGTCTGCGCTCGTGCTCCAAATAGTTTTGGACACAACCTCTCCAGTGATAACTGCTTGCAATGTGATCGATTTGTGCCCATGACTAGTCCGAGGCTAATAGACGCAATGTCACCCTTAATCGAGTGCTGTGTCGGAAGTTACTGCTCGCAAAAAAGACGAACATCTTCAAACAGCTGTAGCAATCGCTCATCGTTATCATTACGGGAGCTTACACCGTGTTGACCACCCAGATGAAGCTTATCAGTGGGCACTTTTCCGATTTGGGCGTTCAAATTAAAGCCCATGCTCGTGCTCCAAATCGAGCGACAGGTTGAGACACAGCCTCTCCAGCGGTAACTGATCGCGATATGACCGATTTGTGTCTGGCTGGTGGGCGCTAATTCACCCTTCTGTGGGTGCTATGTCGAAAGTTAGAGATCGCGAGAAAGAGGCGAGCATCTTCACACAGCTGTAGCAATCGCTCACCATTATCATTACGGGAGCCCACACCATGTTGGCCGCCCAGATGAAGCTCATCAGAAGGCAAGTTTCCGACTTAGAGTTTAGATCACCAGCCAAAACCACTGTATCCGTGTTTCTTCTGTAACGAAGGAGCTCGTGCAGTTGCTGATAGAAATCATCTTTTATCGAGTCAGTGCTACAGTTTGTAGGAGCGTAGGACGCAACGACAAACAGGCATGATTTGTCCCCGCGCGACTTCGAAGCGTGAAAGGAACCGGCTAATTTAACAGCACACATCTGACTGTTAACTGGGATCTAATCGATCAGGGCAGCGTCAGTCCGGGGACTCAAAACAATGCCGACGCCAGCTTGACCGGCAGTTGAAGCTGCATCATCGCCAGACAGGCGCAATGAGAATGTGCAGCCAGTGTCGCATGTGCGGGATCGCACGGTAAGCACGGAGCACGAATCTTGCAGGCATGTTCCTGAAAAACAGCAAATATCGATCGACAGGGTCTCTAGTGTGCGGGCAAGTGCTGCCTGTTGGCCAACTTGTAGCCAAGTGCGCACGTTGAAGCATGTCAGTCTTAGCGAGGATCGAGGACTCGAAACGGAAACGGATGAACTCACGTTGTCCGCTTGGTGAAACATGGACTTGTCGACTTGACTTGAGCGACGCCTTGAGACTGTGAGTTGGAACTAGAAGACAAGCGACTATTGAAGCAAGGTGGAGGTGGGCCGAGAATTGGGGGCTTGAAAATGAGGGGGATAAAAGTAAAGTTGGAGCGGGACGATAAGGATGAAAAAGCGCAGGAAGGTGAATAAGAGGACAGGAAGGCCTGAGCAGTAGCATCCAAACCCCTATCCAGTCTGCTCGAAGCAGCAGATAGGGCGCCGTCCATCATCTTCTGCAATCGCCAGAGCATCAAGAAATCGTTAGAAGAAAGGTTCATTGTATTGCGGGGGGAGAATACTGTCAGGTTGCCCAGGTCTAGACAGGAGAACGATTAGGGTTCTCAACCAAAGCCTTTGGTACAAAAACCTGACCGCAAGGCAGCGGGGTTTTGGCAATGGACCACAAAGAGCCCGTTTTATGGAGTAAAGTGCCACCTTCACTCCAACCCCCAACCTGGAAGGCCAGGAGATTGAGTTTGTCTGGCCTCTAACCATTGATCAATCTGGCATGAGTCCCTATGAAGTTGCGAATAAACACCACTCAGCATAGCTCGATGGATCACTGAGGCACACAAACCATCGCTCCACGTTAAGATCCAGTCTCGTCGCGACGGATGTTCAGACATAACTGACTGAGGATTATTCACTTTGGCGGGGGTGCAAACAAAGTGCCTGATGCCCAATAATCGAAATATTTCGGCTTCCTGAGGAGTGAGAGCGAAAGATGTGACCAAGTCTGCAAGTCGAAGAGTTCAATAGAATACTAGCTGGACAAACAGGCTCACACACGAATGGGCTGATGAAAGAGGGTATTCGGGCAAAGCGTGTATTGGGGTTTGAGTAGAAAGAAGAGGCGAAATGAACGCAGCCGAAACGTGACCGCTGGATTGTAAAAAGAAATCTAGGGACCGGTCGCATCACTTTACGGCCACAGGCGATGACAAGGGCTTACCGAGAAAAGCACAGCTGGAATGGCACACAGCATGAACGCCATGGGTTGCTTCTGGTCGTGGGAAAGTGCACACGTTGCGTACCGACGTACTGATACTAGTATCAAAGCATAAACACTAAACTTAACAGAGTGCACAATTGCCAGAAACTACTTACAAAGCTAACAACTTGTATCAACGAAAAACGTGCACTGGTTGATCCGAGTGCATCCGAGTGATCCTCGTCGAGACGAGGTGATCGGTACAAAGCACAACCATCAAGAACCGTGGGCACACAGACTTTGATAAGGCTTGTATACTTAGCGAACAGTATACCGGTGACTGCTCGTAAAACATCACTCCCACATGTCAAGCTGGTCATAATAGTCCCGGAGGAACCTGCCCAACTGAAATGACCATCACGGAGACTCAAGTCTTCGGACTATTGCAAGAGCTTGAATCCTTCTAAAACTGCTGGCCCTGATTCAATTCATTTGAAGCTGATGCATCAATCGGCCGCTGAACCAAGTGATCCTCTTACATGCGCGTTTACAAAAGTACTTGGCATCTGCGTCCTAACCACAGAATGAAGAGAGGCAATCATATGTACGATTTTCAGGAACAGTGACA